CCGGAAATCAAACCCAGGTCCTCTCGCTTGCAAGGCGAGTGCTCTAACCAATATGCTACAGGACTTTTTATTTACAAGGGTACAGTGACAAAACTTAACAAATGAATATCCTTAACACATAAATTAATGAAATATGTTGAGCGAGGGAGTAGAAAACACCTGTGCCTTTCAACACTTCCTATTTTTAATCCTTGTGACTGCTTTTGTATGAGAAATGAATGAATCGTTTTTAACAGTAGATAAATGACATTTTCAGAATGTGCATTTGAAAGAGTTAAAACTGTATCTGTGTTTGACAAACTGTTGACCGTAGGAGGTAATGGTGTGGAAAGCTGAGGCACGAAAATTGTAGCCGAATCAGCAGATGAGTTTTGAAGCAGACCAGATATGCTGTGTCCCCTAGGTTGTGTGCATGAATGTTTTTTTCTTTCTTAAAACTCTAGCACATTAAAGGAGGCCAGATAGTTTAAGATGACCCCTATGTTTGTGTGCATTTTTTTCTGTTTGGTTTTGGCAGATTCAAACTCTTCTGAGAAGATTACATGCAATTGATGACGATTGTCTCCATTGGCCAATGAAAATTTGTCTGAACTTGCTACTGAGAAACAAAGATGTGAATGGAGTAGTTTTTTCTTTGTGTGTTCCTAAAAATACACTTTAAAAATTCACAGATAAAAATATAATACAATCAGCAAGATGTTGGCCCTTCCTCTCATACCTTTGAGGCATCTCTTCAGCATCTAACAGTGTTGACCCTACCACGAGCAGACGACCTTTCAGCCCCCCAGTTTAGAACACGCTTTCAAAATCCCTCCTCCTTGTCCCTCTCTCTGCTTTCAAAACCCATCCGCAGATCTATGTTTTTGACTACTTTTGGTCATCTCCTTCCCAGCTTGAGCTCCTACATTGTCTGTAAAACACTTTGAAATAAATAAAGATGTAGCAGCTTTCTCATCAGAAAGCCATCTCAAAGTGCTGCACAGATTTGACAATAAAATGTAGTGGCTGGATAGTTTATTTTTATAGGTCAATATGCAGCTAATTTGCAAACAGCAATGCTGACAAACAACCATGAAGTGAATTTTGGCCAATTTTATCTGGAGGGTTGTTGACCAAGACACTGGGAGAAACTTCCTTCTCTTTTGAATAGTGCCACAGGACCATCACTGTCCACCTGAACAGGCAGTCAGGATCTTGGTTTAACATCTCAACTGAAGGTTGTGCCTGTGACTTGGGCCACACCAGTGATTTTTAAATGAAATACTTTTCTATTCACAATGCATTGAAATTGACCAAAATTACTTTTTTTTACAAAGGGGAATGTTACTTACCTTCCCATTGCCAAGAGGCAAATATTTTGCAGTTATGTAAGAGGGCTTGCAGCTCCTCTGAGATTGAACCTTTGACAGACAGCCAATTTGGTTAAATCCATAAGAAAGCTTACTAAACTGATGTAAACTCTGAATGTAGAATACCAGCAAAAAGTCTTGAGCTCGATCTGAACTGATATAAAATGTTTTGTTTTCATAGAGCTAGGGAGAAAACAAATGGTCAAAAGTCCACATAGAACATCCTCAATTTATTTCTGGCTTGATGAGGAATAGGTTTGGGTAAAAAAAAAGGAAATTTGACAGTTTCATTCTAATTTGCATTGGACTCTGAAAATTAATTAATGACCCAGCACAGCTGTGTTGCATTTCTGAGGGAGGATTTTGTCTCCCTCCCCAAAGGCAAAATAGAATTAAGAAAGGCTGAGGAAGTAAACTGACCTATTTGCTTTGATTTGGCCAAAATTGCAGCCTCAAATTTTATTTCCCATTACAAAAGTTTGGTATCTCAAATTTCATCTATATGCTGCTCTTTCTGTTAAAAAAAACTCCTGATTTTAACAGTGACGCAAAGAGCAGAATTAAAAAAGCAGTAATCTTTGTCAAGGAACTTAAACAAGAGGAGCAACTAGAAGTTAACATTTTGTAATTTAGCTGATAGTTGAAGTCTAGTTGCACGATGGTGACTATTTCATTGGTTTAACCATTGAAAAGGTTTAAAATTTTGTTAAAATTTATGTTGGTGAATAAAAATAATCCTTGCATTTACTTTAGCACCTTTGCAATTGGCAGAACATCTTAAAGCACTTCACAGGATTTAATGTAAATTGTGTATTTTGTGGGCAAATCTTTTTGATACAAATTTGAACAGGATATAAATCTGTAAGCATTGGTTTAAATTATATGAAATGGTACCAACCTTGTCCACTTTTCAGATCCATATAAATTCATTTTTTACTTAAGTCTATAGTTAACTTAAGTCTATGTTAAATTGAACTATTTTTTGATATTATTAATTATTAGCTTTGTTTGATCTATGAATTTTCTTTCAAGCTAACGAGGTTTTTTCTCAGCTATTATGATTGTGTCATATAAAATTTCTGTCAGTAGGAGGCATGTTTGTATACTGCTGACGATGGGTAGGAGTGAATTGTACTTACTTAACACAGCCAGATTATCCGGTTTTAACTTTGAATGGGACTCCCAACCACGTGGTCCAGCTGTGCAGGAGCTTACAAAATCTCCTCACACATGTGGCTACCTTCAAATGTTTGAAGTTACAAACATATATTCAGGAAGTGCCTGCCACAGCACCACCAGGCTAAGCAGAACCAGTTGAAAAGGCATTCCAGGCTGCATGGCTTTGTTCAATTTCACACAAGTTCATTTGGAAGTTAAAAAGAGATAGCTGTAGTTCAGATTTGAAAAAAGTAGTAATAATGTGAATACAGATTGTTAAGATGGAATGGCTAATTTGGTATTTTACAAGCAGGGTTATTATATGGTATTATAATAATAATCCTTGGGTTTAATATAGCGCTTTTCATGTCTTCTCAACGTTTCAAAGCGCTTCACAGGAAATACTGTAAAGTGAATTGAGTGTATATTTGTGAGCGAAACCCAGCAGTCAATTGCACACAGCAAAAATAACTTGTGTTATGGTGAAGTAATCAAATTAATGAACCAAGTTTTAATAGCCTCCAATGTGTGTTCTCAATGTTGATTTGTAGCTATTGTGGAAAGGGAAAAAAAATTCTCTTTTGATGTGTAAAAGTACCAATCTTTTAGCGAAATCTCCAATGTTATGTAATCTTTTGTGTATATTAAAAGGTCCTATAAATATGGATATTGTTTGATTCCATCAGCAATCTCCGATCTGTTGAATATAGTACTGTGTTGAATATAGTACATGGCTATGAGCTGCTGCAGGTAACTTGTTTCAACGCCAATTTCATGAACAAGTGGGAAAAGTAAAACTTTTCAGCCTGGTTAATTTCTGACCATCAATCTGTGTTTAATCATTGATTGTATGCATTCTCTTCTGCACTGTTAATTGAAATCAATTTTGTCAAACTCTAGGTATGAAGGTGGGTATAGCTATGTGTTGCTCTTTCAGTCCAAAACAATGTTAAGGCAAATTCAAGTTGTATCTTGTTTAGTACTTAATCCATTCAGTGCTGTAAGTCTTTTTTTGTGTTTTTAAAATGTAGAGTTCTTTAATATAACATCTGTTGAACTGATTTTCTGCAACATTTCCGAAGATTGATGTATCAAAGTAGAAGTAGAGGAATTCAGAGAATGACAGAGCATTCCTGCTTCCCCTTCTCAACACCATTTAAAATTCCTCACTTAAGAGGGCTGCTATCAAACTTTTTTGTCTGTAATCAGTTACTTGGAGATTTGGAAGACCTGTCTACTCCTGTAACAAGACCAATTTACACTTATTTTGTGGCTTTCACATAGGGAGAATGTATCAGATAGCTTTCCAAAGACACAGTAGGAACTAGAACCAGGAGGGAAGATAGTTGACAGTGAGGTTGTGCTGAGATGAGCGATGTAATAGAGATGCTGGAAAGTAGACTTGTTTTCTTGTGATCAGCCAGGTGTGTGACACATACGGAAATCCATCCCATGCTTAAGAGAGTTCCATGCATCCCAACTATATATGGAAATTCCAAAGATATTTGTCGGAATGTAATTCCTGTAGAGACTCATCCTGCTTACCTAATTCCAGAAAGTATTAGGTGCAGCTTGGCATGAGCCAAGGCTTGGGATCCCAGAATGTTGTTGGGGTACTGCTGAACTTTAACCAGCTAAAACTGCAAGCTTGTTATTGAAAGCATTGCTTTCCCGCTGCTTATCCAGCTAAGGGCTTTGGCTTGTAGGGTTAACAGGAGCTGATTTGGAAGAATCTTTGTCCCCCGTGACTGGTCTGCCCTTCTATACCCTGCCATGCTGGCTCGGCTGTCATCAGCAGTGCCCTGGAATACTGTGGACCCGTCTGGCTCAGGAACTGGATTAACGAGACCACCGCAGAAGGAATTCTGACATTCCACTGCTAAATGTATCACCTTCAGCACAGCTTCAAGAAGAACCTGCTTTACCCCCACCCCCCCCCTCCCATTCCAGGAAGAAAGCTACTAGTTTGTCACTTGACATCTGACAAGCGCGGAATTAAGCCCTCACTGGGTGGATGGCAGGTACCAATAACTCCCTGCAAATTTCATGGTGGACAAGCAGCTCAGCATAAATACGTGAGAGCATCCCCACCATCTTCCTGCCCTCAGCTCGGAAACATATCCCTTCCTATTAAGCGATGGTTCCACCATTTGGAGGTGCAGAGCTTGAGAAACAGCTACTTATGAGTAACTTATCATTACCCCTCATGATCTTGAAAGTCTCTTTTAGGTCACAACTTAACCTGTTCAACACAAGTTAAAAAAAAATCTCAACTTCTCAAATCATTCTTCATAAGTGAATCCTGTTGACTCTGGTAGGATCGTGGTGAAGGTTTTTATTGAGTTTACATTTTTGCTATAATGGGGTATACAGAATACACCAAACTGCTCTGTCACACTGTCAATATTTCACTGTACTGATAGACCTGTCAAATGCATAACTGATATTTTTGTAACACTACCCTACTTAATATTCTTAAAACTTCTTTTATAGACAGATAAAGGAACAGAGCAAAAAGGTGGCCAATCTAAAGCATAAAGAACAGGTAGAAAAGAAAAGGAATGCTCAGTTGCTCGAAGAAGCACGACGAAGGGAAGATAATCTATCTGACAATTCACATCACCTCCAGGTATGAAATCTAAACATATGTTTGAGTTGTAATTCATCAGTTTTTGATTCCCTCTCTTAGCTTCCAGACTTTTAGATTGCTTCTGGCTAAGAAATGAAGCTCACATTATCTTTAGTTACAGTCAAAAATGAAGGCCGCACATTACATTTTTCATGTGGTTTGAATGTTGATATAATGGCCATGCATGAATGTTAGTAACTTTTCTTTTCAAAGCAGTACTTATTCATATATATGCAACTACACAACAACAACCACAACAAATTGTATTTACATTGCGCCTTTCATGTCGCGAGGACATCCCAAGCTGCTAAAAACAGGTAAGTTGAAATCCATGTTATTTGCATTGGATATGCAAGATGCAGGAAGTCATAAATAGGCTTGCAGACTGGGCATACAGGTGACGTATAAAGCTTAATGTAGGGAAATTTGAAGTGGTCCTTGATGGTTAGAACCGAATAGAAAGATTCAAAGATTCAGATTTACAAGACTCTAAATGCAGCATAAAGAATGCAAGTCGGGTCATTTGTGTTATGTAAACTCAATGTTCCAATTCACCATGGTCTAAAAGAATCTGCAGGTGACATTTGCCACTTCCTTCAAATTCTCCTGCAACCTTCTCACACAACTGCAATCGCATTCAAGTTGAATTGTGTGTCATGTTAATCAGAATTTTTTAATGAGTGATGCCCACCATATTCAAAACTCCTTTAAGAGTTACTTGTGAAGAGCAAGTAATTAAAACAGTGAATCATAATGTGCCCACAAACTCTATTTTCAATTGAAATAGCCTCAAAAACAGTTACTAATGATGTTGTGTTTACTTCTTGTATACAAAACACATTTCCTTTTGTGTTTTGGAGCCTACTTTGTTGCCATGTAGAATGTTTGTTACTGGATGAAGACATTTGTAAAGTGAGCATTTTACTTATCTTGTTGTGTTTTGTTTGCTTTTACATGTCCTTTGCAAACCAACAAAATGATAAAATAAGAAAACAGTTTGGTACATTAGCTGTTGTTGGTGAGCACTATTTGAATTTAAAAATGCAGCAGGCAGTATGAAAAAACAATGATGTAACCAATTTGCCTCACATTTCCTGTTTTTGTTAGGAAACAGTAACTTGCAAGACTTGTTCTATCATTGTTTTGAATGTGGTGGGCATCTTAAAGTGATGCCCACCATATTCAGAACTCCTTTAAGAATTAAAATTATGTTATTGACTGAGAGTTTTTGCATCTGAAATCCCTTGGTCAGATTATACAACAACAACTTGCATTTATATAGCGCCCTCCAGGCAGGGTAGCGTCTCTGAGCGCTTTACAGTGGCAGAACCTGACTCCGAGTGTTCCAGAGTGAAGGGCGAATGAATGGCGCAGGCGCAGTGGAGGCAGTAAGTGGCAGTTGGTCTCGGGGGAGGTGGTTACATGGGAGGGGTGAGTGAGTGGCGGTCACGTGGGAGAGGAGCGAGGGGAGGGGAGAGTGAGTGAGCGGCAAGATTATGGCTTGAAAATCACTTTCTTTTATTAAAAATTTAGCGATGCTGGTCAGGGGGCAAAACCCACATGATGTTCCCCTCCCCACTAAAGGATTAATGACTGCAATAAAATCACCAGATGTTTACTGGTGTGATTAATATTGATATTGCAAAATAATGTTACATACTATATTTTATACACTTGGTAGCAGTTTTTCCAAATATTTCACATCAGCAAAGGCAACATCTATTTTGCTCCCCCACACATTTGGAATTAGAAACTCCTCCAAGCCATCCCTATCAATCCCATCAACACTCATATTTAGCATAAATATGTCAGAAAGATTCAGCTGCCATTCCCTCCCCCAATACACACGGACACCTGCATATACGTTGATCCAAGTACTCATTCTGCAGACTCGTGCACAAAATCAAGGGTGAAATTTGTCTGATTAAGGCCATATTTTTCTCATTTCAAAACAGTACAATGGGTTTCTTTTATTTTACTTATCTTACTGATGCTGACTGAATCATTAGAGGTTAAAAATAAAGGTCAGATTAATTCCCTACTTGACGCAACAAGACATTTCGAGTTGTTCGGATCTGGAATGCATTGCCTGAAAGGGTGGTGGAAGCCGATTCGATAATAACTTTCATGAGAGAAGCAGATAGATATTTGAGGACGACAAATTTGCAGGGCTACGGGGAGAGCGCGGGGGAGTGGGATTAATTTGGATAGCTCTTACAAAGTGCCGGCACGGACATGATGGGTCGAATGGCCTTCTTCTGTGTTGTATGATTCTAAAATTCTATGATTTTGCCCTGTTAAGTTTATTTTTCATATGTCTTTTGATTGATTTCTAGTGTGTACAGTATCTGTTTTGTATTCTATCTGATGACTGATTTGCTAATAGTCTCCATAGTTGGCTTCAACAAGCTTGATCCTTCATCAATTAGTAGCTACATCAAGTGAGTTTAGCCTCCTGACCAAGGGTTGGGAAAATAAATTCTTATTTTAAATGTTGTCAACATTTTTTAAATTTTCCCACTTTTTTTTCCTTTTGCTTAGCTTATTCTGCATAAAGTATTTATCCATAACTGCCATTTATGAAGACCCTTTCTACTTTGAAAAATCTTTCATATTTTAACTCTACCTATGTTCATATCACAATAATGTAAAATCTGGAATTGTTTTTATCACCTTTGAGTCATTTCCTTTATCTCAAAATATCTTTACGTATAATGACTACAAATGGACAGAATGTTCTATGAAGTCTCACTGATCCTTTATCTCCTCCAAGGGTTTCTGTGGATCTCTTTCTCTACCGAAAATCATGCTGGGTTAATGCATCATGCACTCATCTGAATTAATGCATATTATTGGGAGTTGTTTTGAGCAGCTAATTGACACTTTCGTATAAATTGTGGAGTCCTGTAGCTCAGTGGTTAGAGCACTCGCTTTGCAAGCGAGAGACCTGAGTTCAATTCCAGGCAGGGCGAAACCTTGGGCAAGTTAACTTACCTTACTCCACACGCCCAATAATAATCCCTCCAAAAAACCAAAAAACAATAATAAATTGGTCATTTTCAATCTACGACTGTTTGTGGGATATTGCTGTGCGCAATTGGCTGCCGCGTTCGCCCACAAATATACAGTCAATTCACTTTACAGTGTGTTCTGTGAAGCGCTTTGGGACGTCCTCCCGACGTGAAAAGCGCTATATCAAATGCAAGGAGTATTATTATTATTAAGTTAGCATTCAGTATACTACAGGGGATAAAGAAAATCTAAAGATCAAAAGCTGTCCTGTAAAGGTTCTCCCACGCTGAAGGCAGATGTCCGCCAGATATCTGATGAGGAAACTCAGAGGCTTAGGGTGACAGCTGTTGGAAAATGTTAAATTTGCGAACATCCAGTACCTCATGAACAAAAATAACAATCATTTTGCTACAGCTTTATAAAACCATTGTGAAAAGACATGCTGTGATTCGGGAACAAGAGAATTTGTTCTGACGAAAGGTTCTATTCTGACGAAGGGTCGTAGACCCGAAATCACTTTCCTTTCTCCATAGATACTGCCTGACCTGCTGAGTGTTCCCAGCTCTCTCTGTTTTTGTTTCAGATTTCCAGCATTTTGTGTTTTGTACAAGAGAATTTGTGCACATTGTCATTGGAGAGTATATTTTCCTTCTAATACTAAAATACAGTGTTTTTTTGTGATTAAAGGAAAATGGACACTATTGTGATGTGATAGTATGCACCTTCCAATCCTGCTTGGCACAAATTCCCTTGATCCTCCATTATATTTTCCTCCCTCCCTTGTAATGGCATAAAATATAGTTTGTAGAGTGATACATTTCAGCATAAATTTCTCAAAGATGTGAAGGTGAGAATTTAAATCTAAGCTCAAATTAAATTCACAAATTGAAACCTTAATTTATGAGTTATAATTTTAGGCCTGTTGGGTCAACATCACAAAACTAATAGTCCATCAGATCCTGCTTTCATCTTTAAAGAAAAAAATAAAATAAAATGGTGGCCATAAAGAGGAAACCAGCAGACAAGATATTTTACAGAAAAATCTATTATATATTATAAATAATACCAGATGCATGTCAAACAATTTAAGTCAGTAAGCCAATCACAGGGATTCGTATAACAGTTATAAACTGCACAAGCTTTATTTTGTGGTTTATGGCATCATCTGAACGTCTTGATTGGATTACCATTTTGTAATTTACTGAGTGGCTTCCTATATTCTACACGTAAACATTCAGAACTTCTCCTGAGCAACAAAGCTGGAATCGAAACTGAAGATTCATTACTTAGTTACTCATTCTGGGGCTTCCATTATTCTCTGTGCAACAGCACTCCCACGTATCATTTGTGCTGTCTGAAGTTGAGCCTTCATGACATGTTTGTCTCTAATTCCATTACCGCTTTGGAAATTTTCTTTTACTCACTTTGAATTTGGCTGTCTCAGGCATTGAATAATATAGTACAATAAAACTTGCATAAGTCATATCAGGCATAATATGTCTTATGCAAAGTATGAGTTGCAGGCAAACCGTATAAATCGTATAAAATCTGATTTAATCAATAATCTGCACTGTGCATGCGTAATTCAGTGCAGCCGATAAGGGCACATGCGGTAGTTCATCACTGCAACCTGTCAGTGCGCATGCAGTGACTGGTCAAGACTACGTTTTCCTTGATTCAATGCGTCTTTACCTTATCGCTGCATGCTCACTAATCGGTAAATGTTGGAATTGCATTGATTTGCGGGAAATTAAGTTCTTCTGTGCATGTGGTGACAGATCAAGACTAAATTCAATGCAATGTAAGTGTGCATGCCAACAGGTTAGATCATTTCCCGTGATTCAATGCAGCTGTAAGTGCGGGAGCAATGGAGGGTAGGGAAGCGACGTTACGAGTTAGGAAGTGATAAATACGACTATTAAAAGAATTCATAGTGGTTTTGATGATAGGAAACTGAATAGGACTCGGGTAGATGTACCGTTTTGGTG